ACACAGAAGGGAGAAGAAGGGGGCCTCTCCTTTCTATTGGGAGCTCCATGCTGTCTCTCAATTTGGAGTAATCTTCCCAAGCCTGAATCGTCTTTCTCCACATGTCCGTAAAACAACAAATTTAAGTGCAGCTGGGCACAGGGAGTCAGTGGGGTTGGATACCGGGGGCAACCAATAGAAGCAAAAACTGCTTGTGTCTGGAGCAAAAGGATTAAAGAAGGTCAAATGCTAAAGAGCAAGAATAACACCATATTGTCAGGGACAGCTGGAAGGGGACACTACAATGGAGAGGTCAGAACTAACTGGTGGTGGGGAAAATCTGATTCTACTTCTCTAACTCTGTAATTACAGCAAGGAGATGGGCCCAGTGATTCTATTACCACACTCTACTCTACCAAGTATTTTTAGTTTGACCAAACCCCACTTTTGTTTAGATCTGTTTTATTTTGGGATCCTGGCACATTTATACCTCATGTCTTTGTCTGTATCACTACTTTGAAGGGAAGTTTAATCCATTTGTGCCTGATGCCCACAAAAACAGAATTTCACTTGTTTCCCAATTTTAAAAAGCAGGGGTGTTTTCAAACATCTATATTTGAGCCAAGAAAGTAAGTAGGACCTCAGGTCGGAACTCAGGAACATGAAAGTGTTAACCATCTAAAAACTGATTTTTCAAAGAAACATGATGATTGCACAAATTCATACCAATTTTTAGAAAAGAACCTAAGGATGAAAAACACCAGGTGGGGCCTTAAAACCAGAAAGGGTGCCTACTGATGACCAGCTGAACTCTGTGACCCCCTCAGATTTCCCAGTGATCATGGAGGAGGCATGTCCTCCAAGGGCCCAGAAAGGGGAAAGAGTGGAGGGAGGGAGAAGAGGGGAAGGGATAAAACACATGCATGCCAAAAAAAAAAAAAAAAAAAGTCCCCTAAAAAAAATGAGCATTTAAACTGCTTGTCAGAAGGCTTCCTGACAGAGCCACTAAAGCGTATTCAAAGACATTTGCATAAATGCTGCCGGTGAGTTCACCATAGCTGCTAGCACTAATAGTACATAAAGTAATTTAGTCACTTCTCCCGGCATTCTATGTCAGAATGATGAGCACCGGCACTTTGCCTTGTTGCATATTAGATCATTAGATAATAAAGTGTTAGCGCATGCAAGCTGACAGGGTCCCTGCACTATAGCTTTGTGAGGGCACCGCATTTTGCCACGGGGGGAAGAAACAGAGAAACTGATGCCCCAATTGGCCTTAAATTCAAGTAAACACAACCTGAAACTCAAGAGAACAATAATAACAACATCAACACTCCCAAGCCTTTAAAGATCCCCAGCATACGATCCCCAGGAATTTGCCCAAGTGATGGGAAGATAGGGCAGACGCATAAGCTAGGGCTGTACATTACTGTGGGTGGGGACAATTCTGCATCTTTGGCCCCAAGCCTATGCTTTTCAAAAATTGAAAGCCTGAGAGTAGTCACCTTCTGATACTACCTCTCTCCACAATGTACATCTTCCATACTGCTATTGCTTGCTTAAAGATGAAACCTCACTAGCCTAAACTCTCCCGTAAATATTCAGCCAAAGGAAATCTCAGTATTTATGAATGAAGACAAAAATGGGGGAGAGCAATTACCATGAGCTACAGGATGCCAGGATTCACCCTCTTTGGACCATGCAAGATTCTATGAAATAAATTTGCCTTTGTCAACTCGCCTACTTGAAATACAGGGGCTGTTATTTGAGCATGGAGGTTTGGAAGTCCATGGGTCACACAGGGAAGACTGCATGAATGTAAAGCATGGTCTCTTTTTCTACTTAAATGCAGAAAGATGAGCTACGGAAGGGAACTTTCCTCCAACTGTATGACAAGCAGGATATAAATAGAGATGTGCAGAGTTGCTCTAAATAATTCCTGCTACCTGTAAATGAGATGGTAAAAAGCCCAGAATGAGGAAAAACGAATGCTCCTACAGGTCACCTCCGAGGTGAAAATACCTAGCAGTTTCACTGCGTAGTAGCTGTCTGAGGTGGGGGTGAAGGAGGGGAGCTGCTGAGGCATAGGGGCTTGGTTCTGGACGTCTTAAACAGGGCATTTTCAAACAGGATTTTTCAGTGGCAAGATAAAGTATTACCATACCCTCAAATCAACATGTATTAGCATCTAAGTCCACTCCCACACATCCCCAATGAAAGAGCCCAATAGTCACCCTTTGCTGAGTAGATATTTATGTATCAGTTTGAAGTGTCTAAATGAGTGGGTGGTTTTGTGTGGTTGGTTGATTCATTCTGCAGAGAAGCAGATTTCCATGTATTGTCGTTACAAGGAACCTCACGGTATCTACCCTCTTACTCTTCTGAAGAGAAATAAAGTAAGGCATTGGTGACAGCGAGGTCCCCTAGCTGAAGAAGATAGGACACACCCAGACCCCCAAAGATGCTTAGCCATTTCTGAACAGTGAAATGTCTTCATTTTCTTGAACAGTATGTTAATAATCACATGGCCACTTGTGGACTGGTAAACTGGAGAAGAGGAATAAAATATTGTCTCTAAAACTTAGAATAATATGATATCCCAGTTGAAATATTAATATGTACACACAGAAGCAAGAATATTTGAGTTGGGAGGAAGCCTACAGGCGTTTTGGTCTAGAGATCTCAAACTGTTAGCCTATGGCTGTATTCTTCCTAAGTGACATTTCCCCTTCCTCACTTCAGAGGGTTTAAAAGTTTTATAATTAGTTACCAACAACTAAAAATTAGGAGTTTTAATTCTTGCCACACTAGAACATCTGTTCTGTCCCCACTGGGCTCTCAGTCCCCTGGGCCACAACTGTCTAGGCTGCTGGACAGCAGAACATGTACTTGCCCTTCTTCTGCAGTCTCCACCCAGCCCACTTCCCCTGTGTACTTGGCCTGCCCCCACTCAAGGCACACATTTTTTTTTATCCCCCCCTACAGATCATCACCTTCATTTTACCAAGAAGAAGACTAAGGATCCCAAAAGGTAAGGTGACTTGTCCAAGGTCACATAAGGGCCAGAGGTGAAACTAAAAATTGAATTTAGGTTTCCTGGCTCCTACTTCATGATTCTTTCCTCCACATTATAATGCAAAATAATATGTTCCTGACCTCCAGACTCTAGATATTTCTGGCAGGTTGCTTCTGTTGGTTTGTGTTGGGTTTTTTTGTTTTGTTTTTTTTGGTGGAGGTATGATTTGCATGACGTCATGTGGTCTGTCACTGCCTTCCCAAAGGCAGGAATGGGAGCTGGCTGTGTCTGCCCTTGGAGCCCATTTTGAAACTGGGAACCCATGACTGGTAGATTTCAAACTGACAGTCAAGTCTGTCCTTGAACAGGACAGTAACCATTGTAACTAACCAGCCACAGTGGAAAACAAGACTTCAGTTTTTAAACCACAGCTTTCCAAATCGTGCTCGCTGAGTATTTACCTAGTTTTTCCCCTTCCTCTCCCCTAAATACTTCTAGTAAAACAATGCCTTAAGTGACTTCAAGGGTATTAAAAAGGCAACATTACCGTAAAGTGAGGATCAGAATAATTTTAAGTACAGGAATGGAACTAGGAATGTAATCATGAGCAGGTGTTTCAAATGGCCTCTTGCAAAAAAGTAATATCCATCCATCTCAGCACTAATGAAACCATAAAGAAGCAGCTTTTGAAAGATGATGGTTTACTTTAAAAAGACTGTAAAACTGGATGTGGTGAAGAATCCTTTCTAAGAGTGTTACATCTGGCTAATTAATAAAAAGTAGAGTTTGTGTATTTCTTAAGTGCAGAAAAAAAATCAGGCAAAAATAATGATAGTGGTGTGTTTATTAAATTAGAATGCTGGCAGGGAAGGGAGTTTTCTACCTTATGAATTATATCATGGACAGCTCATAGCCCTTGGAAAAATCAGGCAATCGGGTGGTAATTTGTGCAGTAGTGTTTTTAAAAGAATCCTGCTGACCTAGCAAACTGGAAAGTGAAGTGGGGAAATGGGTTTAGAGTTTAATCTGAAGGAGATAAGAGAAAATCTAGCATGGTGATTGGTATCCAGTATAGTCTCCATCATTGTTTCTGGGATGGATGGTTGGAAGGATGGATTGACGAAAGATGAATAGATGGATGGGTGCATTGAGGATGGAGAGATGGCTGGACGGGCAGATGGATGGACAGATGGATGAAAAGTGAATGGATGGATGAATGGATGGATGGATGATGGATAGATGGATGGATCGATGGATGGATGGAAAGATGGAAGGATGTATACATTATATATACATGTAGTACAGAAACATTCAGATGTATATTCAATCTAGCCCTTGATTCCTTTGAGTGGCATTCACTTTCCTTGATTCAAATTTTTATCTGGTTTCCTCCAGTCCTCTCAAAGTTACCACTGATTAGCCATAAATTCAAGACAAATGTGAAATCTCCCCAACAAAATCCACCTACAGAAACCAGGCTCTATCATGTGGTGATGAAGGGAGGATTATGCACAAGGCACAGGAGGGACATTTAGTTTGAGCTTCAGCTTCAGAAAATGCCTCTGACCTAGACTTTGGACTTTATCTCCAAATGAAGTTTAATATGAAGTTATAGAGATACACCAGCAGGACTGTAAAGAGGATGGAGTTCATTATACAACCAAGTCAGTTGTAAACTCAAAACATACCACAATATTTGTTACCCTGCTTTGGCCCTCCTTTATTTTTCAGTCAAGTGGGAGCTTAAAATAAAGCAGTGGTCCAGGTCTCCCTCTCTCTCTCTCAACCTGAAGGAAAGATGCATCAGCCATTTCCAGGATAGAGAGTTGTGTGACAAGAAAGGCTGGGCCTCAGAGATATTTTCCTGTCTTTAAATATTTGCTATCAGTATCATTCAAATTTGAAATTGGAAACAGAGTAGAAAATGTGGCGGAGTTGGAAGAAAGAAACCAAACAGATTCACAGTTAAAGTAGCAATGCCAACCAATGAAAATGATTTGCCTACCATGTTCCAGATAAGAGGGCGTACCTTCCGAGGGGTCAAGCCTCCGAGCCCTCCGCCCATGCTTAGAGTTATTATGGACAAACATATTATCAGAGACTGCCAGGACATGGCCATCCACATTGACTGTCGTAGACACCACGACCTGGAGACAGAAGAGAGAAATGAATGAACATTTTAATATAAAAGCATGGAAGGTAATAAACTCAAGTTAAATAAATAACAGCTGGGAGCTGAAGAAAATTGCATAGCTATTTCACATAATAACTGGTGCTTATGCTGTACAAGTCTAACAAGAGGAGCTATTGATGAGTGGGTCTTTGGCATGGAACGCTTTTGATGCAGTTTTAAGTAAAATTGCACAGTTTATAGTTATACAGCAGAAGGCACACTGTTAACCATAATTTTAACAAGAGGATCTTTATTAGCATATTTTTTTACACAACGGTGGTTGTGTTTCACCTAAATTACCCTTCAGTTTAGACACTGAAGCAGATATCACAGTTGATCATGCAAATAAAAATCTTTTGAATCTTTAAAATATTTCCCCCCCACTGCGTCAGGGTTAAGAGGATAAAGAAATGAAAAAGAGAGGTTTCAGTGAGAGCTGGGATGCAGCTTTCTCTCCCGCATGTCTTTCTGGTGTTTCTTGTACTTTTCTCTTCCCACATTACTTCGATTAATCAGACCAACCTCCCCCTCCCCCCGCCCCCACCACCATCACCATCACCACCACCAGCATCCCTCCTCAAAAGATCCCTGCTAATTAAGGGTCTTAGATCTGTGTTTCAAAGCCAAAAAAAAAACAAAACAAAACAAAACAAAAAACAACAACCAGAAAAACAAAAACAAAAAAAGAAGAAATGCAATGGCCCAGGTATAATTCAGATACCCTGGCCATCTCATAAACTGACTCTGAATCTAGTTTGCCAGAAGGGACACGGGCAAAGGTGTTTTCTTAGAGAACTTTGACTAAAACAATGAGAAGAAATGACCTACACTTCTCCTTATATTAAATGGGGAAGAGGATTAAAACTGAAACCCACAGAGATATGTTTATTCATGCGACCTCTTACAACCAAATATAATAATTGTCTGTAATTGCAGCTTCAGCTCCCACCTCATGCTTTGACATGGGAAACAGCAATCAGCCAGCTCCGGTTTAATCCACCTATTATGTTGACTAATTAACTTTCCTCGACAGTTTATTTCTTCCTCCATTATCAGCCCCTGTCAGCCGCAAGCACCCTGCAGCAGAGGGGAGACCTCAGGCTCTTTGATTGATCACCGATAGATTGACATGCAGATTAATTTAATTAGAATCACCTCACTTGAGAAATGAAAGACAAAGGCAAGAGGGCTAATAGATCTGCTCTCATAATGAGGCGAACCTCCAGAGCCGAAGCTGAGGATTTCTGATTTATTTTGCTCAATTCCCCAGTTGCTTGGAAAAGACTCTCGCTTTAATTGTTCTTGGTTTTGAGAGGCATTAGCCTCTGAAGAGGTGAAACGTTTTACAAGGATTGGCACATACTGAGGCCCCAGTTTCTGAGGAAGCCTTTTCTCCGACTTCTAGGGTCTTGTGCAATGCCGCAGTTTCATCCCCTGAGTTGGGCAGAGGGCAAGACGCTGGGCCTTGGCCTATGCCTGCGATTTGCCTGGCGAAGTGCCTTCCTCTGTAGCCTCCCACCCCAACCAACGTCAGCCATACTGAAAAGTTCCACCGTCAGTGTCTTTGACCTAAACGCATCAGGACAAAACACAGCAGATTCCCTTTCTTGAGGCCTCAAAGATGGCAACGAACTCTAGGCTGTGAAGCACTGTTCCCAATACTATCATGGGGTTGATTTCATTTGATCTGATCCGATCTGACTTGATCTAGTTATTAGTTTCTGTTTGTTTGCTCTCTTCCAAGCCCTGCCTTCTGCACACCCAAGGCCCTGCTCTTTAAATGGAGCCCCTACAGGCTTTCAGACCTGGATGCATAAGTCAGAAAACTCAGGAAACTACGCACTTGGTCATCCCGCCCTGGGGCCTCCCAGGGATGACTGCAGGGCAGGTCTTCTGTGGGGTCCTCCCTCAGGGCCCTCTTTCAGGCTCTTCTCCTTGAATCCCAGCCAGGCCTGGACCCTCCCCTGATTTTATTTTTTTAATTCTATTTTATTAAAATACAAAGTAAACAACTGAGAGTCCATTCTGGGAGTCGGGGTATTTGCCTCAATCATTGTGAAAACCAAAATTCCAACTAGGGCAAGTCATTCATGGGAGGACTCAGTACATTTGAAGTAGCAGTTTGCAAAGTGGTTTTTCTCTTTCTTCATGATTGACCAACCAGATCTGACACAGCCGGAAAGTTATGTGTATGCCTCATCAATTGTAGGTTAATTTAAAAGGAGGAGGAGGAAGAGAAGAAAATGGTCTATTCTTTTATTTTCAAAAAGTATTAGGTGCCAATGCAGAGTCCATATTATTTAAGGCAACAGAAACTCCCTTTTCTTTTTAGTTAGGGAGGTGGGACATATACAATTATGTAACAGAGCTGGGTCTTTCAAAGAATTTTTGATTTACTACGAGACCACAATTGAGTGGTCACTGGAGTCGTTAGCTGAAGAAACTATAAAAGGAATCCCAAACGGTATCTGTTTCCAGTGTCAGGAAATACAGAAAGTTGTTATTCTAGATGTCTGTCTTAAAAGGAAAAAAAAGCAATGACAATTCACCATGCACCTGTAAGACAAAATTCTACAGGCTTAGGCTTAAAATATTCAGTATTGCTTAAAGATATTGTCATCTAATTCCTACATTGAACAGAAATGACAAAAACGGTTAAGTTAAAAAAAATAAAACTACATCCTATGTGTTTTTTTCTTGACAATAGAAGGATCACCAAGACCACATGTGTGACAGAATCATTTCATTTGAAAGTTCCACTAAAATTGGAGAGAGATAAAACAGAATCCTCATGCCTTTAATTTCTAGAAAATAAACACCTAGTGTTCCTCACAGAAACTCATGACTAAACATTTTAACTTGCCTCTCCCCAAAATAATTTCTCTCATTCCAATTTGGAAATGATCAAGATATATTTAAATAAAACATATGCTGAAACTAATCCACAAAGCAACTTGTAAATTTTTAAAAATCTGTGAGTTGCAAAGGGGGCACTGAAGTGTCCTTTAAAAAATAGGCCCATAGTGGGAGGGAAAAGGGCCTTTACAGTTTAACACAAGATTAATGAGGTGCTGACACATTCATGCAGGCAAGGGGACAGACAGGCCTGCCAAATCTTCAACCTTCCCAAATTTTGTCAACAAAACACAGCTTGAATTTGGGACAGGTAAACACAGAAAATGATTTTACATTTGGACTCAACACTTCCCTCTCTATCCCCTTCCTCACTCTCCTGCCCAAGGAAAGAGATGAAGGGAATATGAGGAACAGGTATACTTAGAATTTTACGATACCTGTTAAACTATATCTTTACTCTTTAGAATCGTACTGTCCAAGACAGTAAGCACACATGTAGCTATTTAAATTTAAACTAATTAAGTAAAATTTTAAATTCTCGTTCCTGAGTCTCCATGGCCATATTTCGAGTGGTTAGTAGCCACATGTGGCTAGAGATGCTATATTGGACAGGGCAGAACAGAACATTCTCCTCATCGTAGAGTGTCTTACTGGTCAGTGCTGCTGTAGAATGGTTTTGAAATAAATTGCTCCAAGTTATTCATGAGGATGTCCAAGCTATATCTCCTGAAACAGGTATTAGTCTAAGTGGACATATTTAAGATTATATACAAGTATTTTTTTATCACTATATTTTCTAGAATCAATTTTCTATTTAGGGCATAGCTTTCTAACATAGCAATCCATAGATGTGCTGATGAACACTCAGTATGTTCCGTGGTACCTTCTATCTGGGTCCAGCCCTCCAGGTAAGGGCATTCAGCATGAGGGGATTTAAAAAAACAAACAAACAAAAAAAAAAACAGAAGAGAAATCTGCAGGTACCCATGGACTTTGGAGATTTTACACTAACGTTTTTAGTTTCTTGCCTCATTTCAGTGGTTCAAAATGTCCTCTGTTTTATCCTGGACCTAGCTATCCCTAAAGGCTGTTATTTTTACAATTTCACCCCCTCTATTTAGAATTAGAAATAATTCGACACAAAGTTGATAATTCTTGACTCCCAAGCTTTCCTAGTTGATGTGACTTTGGCCAGGTTAACTTAAACCTCAGCCACGGTGCTCCCGCCTATCAAGTGGAGATACTAATAAAAGTACCTGGTTCTGTGAGTCTTACAATATTTAAAGTGGCCAGCATGGTTCCTGGCTCATACTGAGTACTCAACAAATGTTAGTAGCAGTAGGACTGTAGCTGTTGCTTTGTTGATGAGACTCACCAAAAAGTTCAAGTTAATGTACTGGGCTGATCATCTGAAGCCATAAAGAGGACCCTGCATAAACTGTTATTTTAAATAAAAAGGTACAGAAATTACCTCTAATATGTTCACTGTTTTATCAGTCTAACAATTAAATTGTACAATTTTAAAGACCTTTGTGCTCACAGTATGTAATTGTGTAATTTAGGCCTCATGTAAATTGCAAATTTCACTGGTTTCTATAATTTTACTTTCTATAATTTATTTTTTTAATTTTTTTAAATTTTATTTATTTATTTGACAGAGAGAGAGACACAGCGAGAGAGGGAACACAAGCAGGGGGAGTGGGAGAGGGAGAAGCAGGCTTCCCGCCAAGCAGGGAGCCCGATGCGGGGCTTGATCCCGGGACCCTGGGATCATGACTTGAGCCAAAGGCAGACGTCCAACGACTGAGCCACCCAGGCGCCCCTATAATTTTACTTTCTAGAACCCATTGGTATCTTAGCCTGTTATATTCTAGGCTTGAAACTGAACAAAATCTTACTGCTTTGAAAAAATCTATAAATTAGACATCGTATCAATTCAGTCTAGTTTTCCCAGTATTTCATATGAATGAAGGATTCTCTGGGAGTTTTGTTATTTGTTACTATTTCCTGCTATCATTCTTCAGGCTGTCCCTCTTTTCTTTATATCAGGCAGGAGACCTTGTATGTCCCAACTAAACTAAATTATCTAAGATTCATGACCCATAATCTCTGTCTCAT